TTTATTGCTTCCCCACATTGGCGAGAGTGGGACATGGAAGCATCAACATACATACCGAGATCTTTCTCGTAATCAGCTACCTTTATTTCAGTGGAACCCATAAAATACCTGTACTGTATATTTCTGCTCCCTGCATGGATTACCTTACATTTAGTAGTCGCTATAAGTGAGACACCAGTGGCCTGTACTACCAAGTGGGGTTACTGGCTTATTGGGGTAACTTGTCGGACTTAAGGTAGTCTGCGCAAAATGTAAGTGAACAAATATGAAGTCCATTTAAACTGTGGTACCTTAAATCCGACAAGTTACCTCGATAAACCAGTAACCCCGCTTCGTAGTACCAGCCACAGGAAGCTTATGTTAGCGGCAGTGTCTTTGAGCAGTGTGCTCAAAGCCTTAACTGTGTCAGTATTCGCGCAAGAGGTAGAAGTACACCATAATCTTCTAACTTTGCCCCAGATAGTACAGTGTATTTCAGTCACATAGATCCTATATCAGCTGTTCGCGATGTACCTCTCCCAGCCTATTTTCTGTTTACGACATCCTCTTGGAAACTAAGCCACCCTCTAAATAGGAGTGTGTGGTTATTTTAGAGTATTTAAGGTTAAAGTAAATCACAGGGTATCTGGGTGGCCTGCTGAGTAACTGGGTGGTACTGTAGTTTTACAACTCAAAGCCCAGCCTTGGTTCTGTGTGGAGTTTGCATGTTCTGCCTGTGTTTGTGTATAAGATGAAGGGAACTAGTTCCTCTGGATTTCCTATACTGAATGACAGTGCAGAGTGGTATTCTGTCCATCTGGGAGATTAACCTCTATTAAATGAGGGACCTCTCAAGTAAAAAAAAAAACACAGCTAGGGACCCCCTTCCACTAATTTGTGATCACAAATGAAACACCATCCATTCATCATCCATACCTGCTTGACCTATGCAGGGTTGCAGGGGGTTCAGAGCCTATGCTGGAAACCATGTGCGCAAGGCAGGAAACAACCCAGGATGGGGCGCCAACCCATAGCAGGGCACAGTCACACACTACTCATATCTACAGGTGACTTGGCAAATCCAACTCACTCTGGCATGTTTTTGGACACAGGAGGGAAATATGAGAAGGAAACTGAAGGAAACCCCATGACAATATCTGGGGGGGGGCATGTAAGCTCCAGGAGCTGTGAGGTGACACTACTGACCACTATACTGCCCCCATATGAGAAACTCACATTTTTAATATTTCATTAAATTAATAATTGAACAAGTCTTTAATATTTCCTCATATTTTCTGCCTCAAACGAAGGTCCCTCTGCAATATTTTTCATTTAGTAACCAACAATGACTTTGCTTAATTTTTTGTTCTGCATGCTCATATACTGTGTTATTATAATGTTGTGTACGGGATTGTATACTAGTAAGACAATATGCAGCAATGTCCAGTGTGTGGTCAGTTTTTATTGTTCTTCACTGTTCTTCTGCTTTACACAGTTTGTAACATATGTCTCAGTTCGTCACATCCATGATTAAAAATCACCATCCATCTATACAAAGCTGTACCATTCTGTAACATCATACCTTCGCTAAGGTTTTTAGTGAAAGAATCATTTATTATATTCAGGAAACAGCCCTAAACACTTTTTAATTAGATTTGATTTAAGATAAAAGACCATGATAAAACATATCAAAAATCAAAATATCAAAAATCATTTTAAGCTAAATAACTAGATCCTTATTCCCAGTTGGGCTGTGGTAAAATCAATCAGTTCATCTTAACAGCGTTCATTTCGCAAATCCGTTTGTACAGGAAGTCGCAGGGCACATCAGCCCAGTATTTGTGGATTGAATTCAGAACCGCGCAGTCTTCTCCATGGATACCGCCAGACAGGTGGTTATCTGGCTGGGAATTCTCCACGTTCCAGTACCTGCAGGTCAGAGAGGGGATAACATGTCACTTCTGCTGAAGGATTTTAATACAGGAGTGAGAGGATGACAGTCAGGAGGAGAGCAAATGGAGGGAGAGTGAGGAAAGGAAGAGCATCCGTACGTGAAGTTGACAGGGGAGTTGTCCACCCATTTCCAGTCCCCTTCGGTCTCCCTGTCCGACAGACCAATCCAGAAGTGGTAGTCCAGCTCTCTGAGTCTCCGCACCTCCTGCTCCAGGGCCTCCTGATCGCACACAGTCAAATAGCAAGATTCAAGATTCAAGATTCAAGATCTTTATTTGTCACATGCGTAGTCATACAAGTACAACACACAGTGAAATGTAACCTGAGCCGCTCCTTGACTGTGCAAAAGAAGCATTCATCATTTTTAATAAATGATCTCAGTTTTTGGACGTCTTCCTCTAATACATTAAGTGGCAGCCGGTTTAGAGGGGACCGGCTGCCAGGAAGTCGGTAATCTCCTGCAAGTAGTGACGCTGTGGAACAGCACTGCATGCAGGAGTATGGTGCAGCTGGAAGGGGGCGCCAGAACTCACGTGTTGCCCATGACTGCGCAGGACAACCAGGTGGCTGCCCAGACTCTCACAGCTGGCCTTGCTGCTCTCCCAGTCCAGCTTGTCTTTGCTGAAGTAGTAACACTTGTCCTTGAACTCCACCCAGCTCGGGGGGCAGGGTGTGCAGTGCTTCACTGCCAGAGAGGTGAGATTGTGGGTTGGAGGAGGATTAGGAGGCAATAAGTCTTGTCATTAGAGATGCAAAGATTAATCAACTTAGTCGACTATAATCGATGACCAAATTTAACAGTTGATTAGTTGGTTACATCATCATGTCTGTTTCTCCCACTAACTTGAAATGATTTGATATTACCACTCACTAGAGAGAAGTTAACCAAAGCTAGATGGTAGATTCAAAAACAAAAACTCCGAAGTATGGGAGCATTTCACACTAAACTCCGAAAAAGGGGTTGTCAGTTGCACAATTTGTAAAGCTGACCTTAGCTGACATGGGAACACACATTCTGTACTCGAGCATCTGAAGAGGAAGCACATCGGCACACTCATCTCGGTAAGTCAGTTATACTAGTTAGCTAATGTAAAAAGCCATTCTACTTCATGTTATGAGCTGCAACATTTTCTATTTTGAAATGCATATTCTCTTGAATTGTTAATGGGATTGGATAATGCCGCCATTACACTGGACGAATTTTCAAGCAATGACAAAAATTCTCATTATTGGTCAAAATCATGAGAGTTTTATTGGAGTTGTAGCGTATTCCGGTCACCTTGATCGTTAGGTGTAAAGTGCTCAAAATAGCTGTCTTAAGTCAGTCTTGACGTTCCGATAAATCAAACGTGTTTAATATTATTATAAGTTTTAAGTCTCTGCCCATGCAAATAGTGACGTGGACATTGTCAACAGGACATCCTGCTTCTCCTGGATGTTCCAGGAGTCTCCCGCAGATGATACAGAGAATCCTGGTGTAGTTTTCATATATTTCATTGCTACTGCATTGCTTGGTTTTAAATTTTAACAGGAAAAATGGAAATTGGATTTATTAAAAGAGTGCATTTTTGATTGAAGTATTCAGCTTTCAAAAGCATGAAACAACCTCAAGCTAAATTTAAAAGCTGATAGATGATACCAAAATAAGAGTTATTTGGTAACTGGGTGATTCATCCTCTGACTAATCAATTATTCATTTCAATAATTGACAGATTATTCAACTATCAAAATAGTCGTTTGTTGCAACCCTATTTGTCATTATTACTTTGAAAGGTCACAGGAAGAAGGATATAGCGGCTTCTTCCAACCAGACCCTATCTCACCCGCACTTCCTGGTTCTGTGCAGTTCTGGACCAGGGTGTGGTAGTCCCCGCAGAGAGTGGTGTAGCGCTGGCTGAGAAGATTGTACTTTTGGGTGAGAGCAGATGTCTCTCCCACTATCCCTGCCCGAGAGCTGCCAGTATTCACAGGTCTGTTGTACACTATGAGAGGGGGGAGGGAGGGGGAAACCAGACGGGGGGGGGGGCAGGAAGAGGTAGTTATAATTATAGCACATCATTATAGCCAGATTATTCAACACAGTCTTGTGACACTAAGAGTCAGGATGAAGGGCTAGCCTGATTATGAGGTATGAGGTGGCCAAATGGTTAGGGACATGCATTTTAAAAGTTGCTGGTTTGAATCCCCGATCAACAAGGTACCCTGAGCAAGGTACTACTCCCAAGCATTGCTCCTTGGGTGCTGCTTACTGCTGTGTCAGATATGGGTTAAATGCAGAGGACACATTTCGTTGTTGTATGTTGGGGTGCAGGGCTGGCAACATCGGTAAAGTACCCTCTACTGTAGCAAACAAAACACCGCTTTGGTTGCCCTTCACATGGCCCTATAAAGTGCCTTTACAATAGTCTAAATGGTCCATACAGGAACCCTTCCAATGGAAATGGGTGGTGTTATGAAGTCCCCCTATGCCACTCCAACATACTTAAGTTTCCCAAATGGTACCCTTTCTAGTAGAGCAAATGGGATGCAGTGCTGTAAAAGGAACTCCTAAATGGGAAAAAATATAGTGAACTGCCCAAATAGGTGCCCTTGCAGTTGATAAAATATAATGCAGTGCGGTTTAGGGTGTCCATCCTTTGGGGGAAAGGATGGAGTTGTCCTAATGGATGCACCTCCAGTGGGGAAATGTGATTTGGTGCCATATAAGGTGCCTTTACAATTGGGTAAACCTGAGGTGCCCCATGGTTGCATTTCTGGTGAAAACAACTCATAAAGTGCCGTCTCAAGTGCCCTCCTAAGTGAGAAAACACGATGAAGTGCCCTTGTGGTGGAGAGCAAAATATATTCAATGGGTGCCCTTCCAGTGAAGAAACTGAGACTGCTTCACCATACAGTACGTAGGAATTTCACACCGCAGACCAGTCTTTGTCGAGTGTGGGGGTGGGGGAGGATTCTCGACAATAACATTTCTTGAGCGGGGGCAGGAGGGCTGACATTGCAGTCCGAGTTAAGTTTTACACTATATCCGGTTGTTGAGTGCCCCTCCTATGGTGTTAGCATTAAATTATTCCTCAACCTTCGTCACCAACCCACAATTAGGCCGGCCTGTAGGAATTCTCCGGATTAGCCTCCCCCCCTAGCATTGGCTGGAATTGTCTAAAATGTGTGATGGTGAAGTCAGTCTGGGCTCCACAAATGTAAATATTTATAGGTTTCTCCTGAAATATATAAATTGTAGATATGTTTATGAAGAAGCGAGCCTTTTGGCAAATTAATCTAGAGAAGAACTAATGTCAAACTATGGAGTACTTTACAATACTGGCACAAAAAGATATATTTTACAATTTTTCAAAAGTTGAAAGAGATATGATAAGGAAAGGACCTGCTGTAGGTGTATGTAATGATGAGGGGCAGGAGGGTAAGTGTTCGAGTACCATGACAGTGGTGTCTTCACTTTGTTCAAATAAACAGTGGATAGAATTCTGTCAGTATGGGATTAAGATGTCATGTTGCTCGGAAGACTGGTTCTGAGGCTCACACACTGCGCTTTCCTGTTCTGCTCGTCTCACTAAGGCCAGAGAGGGTGCCGGGCAGCATGTGAGAGGCCGCCATTACTCACGCAGGACGCTCAGGGCGATGTTGGCACAGATGGAGAGCAGCAGGGAGATGACGAGAACAGCAGTGGCCCGGCTCCTCATGCATCCTGTCGCCTGCTTGGCCCCCACCCCTTCAGGTGACGACAGCCCGGCCATTTGTAAACAAACAAAGGGCAGAGTACGTGACCCGTGGGCGTGCTCTCTCCGGCACAGCAGCGTGCGTGCTCCCACGTCGCCCGGGGCAGCAGCCAACGCATTCATGCTAACATGCTAACATCAGACGCTGACTGAGATACGGTCAGTTATCATGACACAGCAAATGGAATTTAGTCACAAATACACTGCGAGTGGCCACATTATTAGATACATCTAGCTGCTACAGGATTGGGAGCTCTTTTTATCGGCAGAGTTGTGCATTCAGGGAAGCCATCCTACATATTTCCTGCTGTTAGTTTTGCATTTGTAGCTCTTCCTTTTAGCTTTGAAGAGTCTGACCATTCTCCTCTGACCTTCCTGTTAACATGGTGTTTTGAACCACGGAAATTACATTCAGTACATGTTTTTTGTCCAGCTATTCTCTGTAGACTCTAGACAATGTGCTGTGTGTACATCCAAGGAGGCTGGCTGTCTCACCATTTTCAAGATTACTTAGATCAGGGATCTTAACTGTACTAAAGCTTCGCCAAAGAGTAAATGAACTTCTTTATCCTGCCTGTGTACATATGTATTCAGTAGAAATACATAATTTGCTGTGTGGAGAACTGGACTGTCTTCCATGGCAAGAAAAGTGTACAGAAAAACTAGCCACTCAGTGTAAGATAAGTGAGCAATCGCCTGACTCCAACACATCAAACCTGCCTTAGGGAATTAATGAGAAATGACTCAACTATTATGTTAATCTATCTCACCTTTACAAAGGCAATTTCACATTTTTTGATGAATATGAAAGAATATGGCAGATTACCTGGACTGGCCTGGTTTTCCAGGAGACTGGGAGATTTGCCTCCGGGGGAGACGCTCTCACTGAAATCCTGCAAGCTGGTATAATTCTCCATGTTCTGCCTATAAAATCTGGCTTGCTTCCTTTTTTTTGTCCCTGAGCTGCTGACACCAATTTCTTTCTTGTTATCCACAATATTTTAAAGAATTTAAAGTTATTTTTTCCTCCCTTCTTCAGTTAGATCATAAGTTATTTAAAAAGCAGACAAAAGTGACCCCACAGTCTGAGAAATCCAAAGAATATCTGCTGTCAGAACATTCCAGAAGATAAAGGTTTTCTGTCCTGGAACACACACTTGACTTGAAAGTTGACTTGAAAGTTGTTGTTTTCACACAGGGACCTCTGGTTTTGCCTGATATTTCTTTGGCATGTGCCTGTGCTCCCCTGCTATTTTGTACTGTTCTGGGTGAGGGGTGAGGGGTGTACGTGTAGACTGAGGAGGTGGGCTTTGGCTCTGGGAACAGTGTGTATTTTAGAAAGAGAGAGACTCGGAACATACACTGTGGGCTGGGATCATGGCATCACGTTGCATAAAGACCTAAAACACCAGAGTTTCCACATCTGCAAACTTCCCGGCACCTCTGCCAAAATGCAGAGGACAGAATGTTATGTTTTCACCATTACAGACTCCTTGTATCCACTTTGATTGCAAAACATTAAACTTACAGTAAACTCCTATTTCCCAGTCCAACAAAAATCCCTTTCTTTCTGTCTTCAGCTATAACATCCAAAGGCCACAGAAAGAAAAAAGCAGATGGAAGTGAGTGAGCATAATGGTACAGTGTCCCTTTCAAAAAAATTATATACAGCGTCCTCCACAATTTTTGGCAACCCTGGTAAAGATTTGTAAAAAGGGTTAGAAAAATCTACCTTCCACTAAAGTAGCTTCATCTCACACTGAAAAAATGAGGAAAAATCCAACCTTTCTTTGAAATAAATTTAATCAAAGAAAAACAAATCCCTTCATCAATAAATTATTATTTTTAACAAAAACACATGTTCCACAATTATTGGCACCCTTGGAAATGATAGTGAACACAATGTAACTGAAGCATGTATCCCCTGTAAATTGTACATCTTTGAGTTGATTGGAGTGAATAGCAACCTTCAAGCTGAAATCTATGACTTCCTGATTAACTGGGGTACAAACATGACGTGACACAGAGCCCAAATTCCCTTAGTCATCCATCAACATGGGAAAGGTAAGAGAACATACAAACCAAATGAGGGAGAAGTGTGTTGACCTTCATAAGTCAGGAATTGGGTATTAAAAAATAGCTACTTGCCTTAAAATGCTCATTTCTACTGTTAGGGCAATAATAAAAAAGTGGACAACAATTGTAACTGTTACAAACCTGCCTGGAAGAGGACCCAAGTTTATTTTCCCCCCAGGTACAGTGAGGAGGATCGTAAGAGAGGCAAAAAAAATCCCAAAGGATGACTGTTGGTGAATTACAAGACAAAGTAAAATCTTGGGGTTACCACATCTCCGGAAAAACCATCAGACGCCATGCTAACAGATTATTTGGGAGGTATGCCAGAAAAAAGCTTTATTTGACAGTTAACCACAAACGTAAGCACCTGAAGTTCGCGAAACACTACTACAACTTTCACTGGAACCAAATTCAATGGTCTGATGAAACAAAAATGGAGCTTTTTGGCAATACAGTGATCCCCCGGTATATCGCGGTTCAGCTATCGCGCCCCCGCTATATTGCGGATTTTTCCCAGACGCATCACAGTTCTCTGCATATGGCGTACGTTGCTTGTGGTCCGATTGTTTTCGTTGTTTTAAGCCCTACGATGGCTCCCGAGCGTCCCGAATCTTCTAAGCCTTTTGGTTGTAGTGAGCCTAAGCGCCAGAGGATGACCTTGACCATTCAGGAGAAGCTAAAACTCCTAGATATGCTTCGGGAAGAAAAGCGTCGCTCGCCATTATGGCTTGAATGAATCGACGGTACGCTACGTCAATTAAGAAGGATGAAAAGAAGAGCCACGGCATAATTTTCCTTTAGTCAAACAGGAAAGTGGGTGGCAACTCCTGGGAATAAACCCATCGTTAAAATGTAACCACATACATATATATTACACATTATTTATTATTATTATTATTATTATTACTAATAGTTGGCTGATTTGTCTGGAACGCATCTTCCGCAATAGACGGGGGATCACTGTAAAGCCGTAAATATACAGATACTGGTCACTTTATTAGATACACCTTGCTAGTACCCGGTTAGACCTCCTTTTGCCTTCAGAATTGCCTTAATTCTTCGTGGCATAGAATCAAGATTCCTCACAGGCTTTGGTTCTTGTTGACATGACAGCATCACCCGATTGCTGCGGATTAGTTACTTGGCAGTTTACGCAAATAGGTATCAAAAAAGGGGCGGGGTTTAAAGGGTGTATCGCGCACACCAGAGAGCGTGTGTAATAACAAAAATTACTTTAATGACTTCATATGTGTTATTTTAAATTTGTATAAAATATTTAGCCAATAGGTTTTAAGGAATAAAAATACTTGAACTTAAACATATTCTTTTAAATTAGTATAAATTAGACCTATAAATTGTCTGGGACCAGGAGTTTGCATATGTAAAGGGTTAAGGCTGATAATAGAAAAATAATTTCTTAAAATAGTAAAAATAAATAAATAAATAAATATAGAAGCCTGTAGAATTGGTAAAAGACTTAATTGTTCAAAAAGTTATTAAAATTAAAAGGAAGACCACGTTAATAAGTTTTCTTTTAAAAAAAAAAAGAGATAACTAAAAATGGGAACCCACAAGTTTCGTTTCAATACGTTTAATTAACCACTAATGATATTGGAGGCAGTTTGCTCCCTTCCATTAGGGGACGCCAGGCTATGGAGAAATGTACAGTATGTGCAGAGGCGGAAACCACAGAATAAAACTGTGGTCAACCTGAACGCAATAGCCACGTCTCTGTCTGCTCATTTTCTCCAAATAGGTTAGTAAATGGCTCTGTCCCTAAATAATTGTAATTAAGTGCACGGGTGATACGTTTCAATTGGTGAATTAATGTATGTGCTGTGATGTAAATGTAATGTTAGACTGTGTTTTGCTAACATGCGCGAATCTCTAAAATGGCG